CTTGTATAATTAAAACCTAGTTCTTAAAGAGCTAATGATGGGCTAATGTATAATTATTTTCTAGGTGGGAAAGGTGATAGATAGCTGATATTTCACATATCACATGTCAACATCTCAGAAGCTATAAGAAATGCTTAAACACTGAATTCAATACTTTGGAAAATTCCTTGTAGCCTTTTAACTGTGAATTTTCCCCCACCCAACTTCCCTCTGTACTACACCCTGAATTTTAGCTTTAGTTCATGCATTCTTTCAGAAAACATTTTCTGAGCTACTATCATCACACAACACCGAGCTAGGTAGTGTCTCTATGTGACTTCTAAGAAACAGATACAGTTTCTACCCTCAAGGAATATATAATCTTGCTAGGGAGACAACATTGAAAGTTATGCACCAATATGAGAAAATATAAAATGGTATGGACAATAAAGTATTAGAAAAAGTTAGAGGGGAGGAATAACAGACTTTTAGAATTAGCAGGGATCTATGTAACATACAGCATGATGACTATAGTTAACAATACTGTATATTTGAAAGTTGCTAAGAGAGATCTTAAAAGTTCTCATCACAAGAAAAAAAAATCTGTAACTATGTGAGGTGATGTACGTTAAGAAACTTATTGTGGTAACTATTTCCCAATATGTACATATATCAAATCATTATGTTGTATACTTGAAACTAATATAATGTTATATGTCAATTATATCTCAATAAAACTGGGGAAAAAACAAATAAAAGAAAAAAAAAGAAGGAACCTGGTTAAACCTACTCATCTTAGAAATGAGATGGGATAGACAGGGAAGAAATATTAAATACCTATTACAAACCAGGCACTGTGAGACACGTTTTACAACTATTAATTTAACCCCTCAACATAACTCTATAAAACAGAACTTACCAAAGAAACTAAGCCTTCTGTTCTATTTAAACTTAGAGCTGCTAAGACTTTTTATATTATTTTACCAATATTCCAGCAATTGTTGTAAGAGAGTTCCAGGCACTGAAGCAGATGCCTCTATGAAGAGAAAAGTAATTTCTCTGCCCAGTGACTGGGTTATTTTATAAAGTGAAGTTATTTCTTTAGGCAGCAGTAACAAAAAAATTCACTTTTGGAAAATTTTTTCTTTTACTTAAAGTCTGTGGTTGTCAAGCACAAGTATTACAGACACTGGGGTTAAGCAGCTACATTTCTGAGAAGCCCTTTCTGAGCCACTATCCCCAATCTCACTCCAACTCCTTCCAAAAGGTCTAGTCCAAGCACTTGCTTGACCAAATGAAGAGTTGAATAGATTTCCACACTTGGGAAACTAAAGTTCAAGGGCATTAAGCACACAGAACTAATAATGCTAGAACAAGGATCCAAACCCAGATCTAATTCCAAAGGCAATATTTTTTCTTCTGTTTCTTCTACCACCCTTGTGAAAGACTTGCCCAGGGTCAGTCAGCAAATGGCAGAGCCTTCTAAACTCAGTATAGTCTCTAATATACTATGAAAGATGTAGGCACCAAAGAGGCCTTTTGGTCCCTTGGCAAAAATAATTTAAGCCACTTATCATGCACAGGCTTCCCTTGACTTTCCAGGTGGAATGGAAGAACATGAGAAATACCCCGGAATGTGTCACCGGAAGAAAAAAAAAAATCATTATTTGCAAACTGTACTGTGCATACATAGGACCAATATCCTTCACAACCACTGAAAGGATCAATTCCTATGCCACATGACATCCAGAGGCACAGAGCTGGCTCTTCTGAGCTTCTCTCATAGAACATTCCAATAGGTCTGGGAGCAAAAGCATGCAAAAAAATACCATATACATATAATTTTTAACTTGCACAAATCATTCTCTTCACAGTTTTATTTCCTCATTTTTTTTTTTAAGATTTTATTTATTTATTTTTCCCCCCAAAGTCCCAGTAGATAGTTGTATGTCATAGCTGCACATCCCTCCAGTTGCTGTATGTGGGACGCGGCCCCAGCATGGCCGGAAAAGTGGTGCGCGCCCGGGATCCGAACCCGGGCTGTCAGCAGCAGAGCGCGCGCACTTAACCGCTAAGCCACGGGGCCGGCCCCATTTCCTCATTTTTAAAAATAATTTTTATTATAATTTACAATATGTAAAAAAATAACACAATAGTATAATGAACCCCCATATACCCATCACCCAGCCCCAAAAGCTGCTGACCCCTGGGTAATCTTGCCCCATCTACCTCCTCCCTTTACTGAACTATTTTGAAGCAAATCCCAGGCATCACATCACTTCATCTGGAAATAACACGAATTCCTTTCATAAAATATCCTGTTCAGATTTCCAATTATTTTGTTTTTTTTTTTAAGATTAAAAAAATCAGTATCCAAATAAGTTCCATACATTGTGACTGGTTGATAGATCTTTTAATCTATAGATTAAAGTGAGTATTTTAATCTAGAGATTCTCCATTTTTTTCCTTGCAATTTATTTGTTAAAGCAATACCATAAATTGTATATGGATACATATATATATTATTAAATTATAAAAACGTGCATGGGAATAAGAAACACCAAATTCAGGAGAGTGGTTACCTCTGGTGGTGTGGAGGAGAGAGGAATGCCAAGTAAGCATGGGTAGCTTCAATTCTATCTGTAACGTTTTATTTCTCAAAAAAAATTAACAAGAAAAGATCTAAAACAAATATGGCAACATAAGATAAAGCTGGATGGTGTGTATAATGGTATTCAATTATTACTTTGCTTCCTATAATTTTTATATGCTTGAAATATTTAATAAAAACATCTTAAAATTAAGACAGTGGGGAAAGATACAATGATTACATTCTGAAGCTTCAAACGTCCTCCCCTGTAAAACAGGGACCATCATAGTACCTACCTCATAGAGCTGTTGCAAGAATTAAATGAGGTCATGAACATCAAGCACGTAGCACACTACAGGCACGATGTAAGAGCTCAATAAGTAGTGGCTATAGTTATTATTTCATCCCATCATCATCACCTCCCTAACCCCTGCAAAGTCTTAAGCATAAGAATGGTAGGAAAAAAGAACGCTAAACTGGTAGGGAATTTCCCCTAGTCCTTGCTTGTTAAGAAATTATCCAAGGCTGGGCCAGTGGCATAGCGGTTAAGTATGTGCTCCACTTCGGTGGACCAGGCGTGCACCAGATCCCAGGCGTGCACCAACGCACCGCTTTTCAAGCCATGCTGTGGCGGCGTCCCATATAAAGTAGAGGAAGATGGGCATGGATGTCAGCCCAGGGCCAAACTTCCTCAGCAAAAAGAGGAGGATTGGTAACAGATGTTAGCTCAGGGCTAATCTTCCTCACAAAAAAACAAAAGAAATTATCCAGTATGCTCTAATCTCTTCTAGTTTAACCCAGCATTCAACCACATTGTCACTAAATTAAAGACCAGGCTGTATGACAAATTCTGCAAATTAATGGTCACTGACGTGTATAGAGGCACTGGACTAAAATTCAGAGACCTCAGCAATTTACTTGAAGTCTATGAACCTCAATACACATGAGAATACTCCTCTGAAAAATGGGGGATAATTATTCACTGTTAACTTCACACACATTATCGTGACAATCAAATGAGGGGATGTTTATGAAAACACGACAAACCTAAAAGCCCTATACTAATGAAAGTTGATATTTAATGAATTTGCAAGGGTGGGGAGAATCTCAGTTAAAACTGAAGTTCTAAAGTGCAGTTCCACAAGACAGCCTTAGTATTTCTGTCTGCCATTCTACCATCAACTGCCTTTCTTGGCACTTGCTTTCTAACCTCCACCCAAAATATGAGGATCTCTTTATTTTTAAGGGAAGAATCTTCTTGCCATCCCCCAAGTCTCTCTTAATTCCTCGGCTCCCCATCCCTTCTGTGACCCTATTCTGTCCTTCCACGTCTCTCTCACCTGTCCACCCCCTTCTTCACACTTCAGTTTACCACACCCTCGCTGTTCTCTAACCTCCTGGTTGCAACCTCAGAAACTGGTTCCCTTTCTATTTTTATCGTACCTAAGAAAACCTATTGCCTTAAAGCACAAAGCTTTATTTTGTTCAGGCCACTTAAATTGCAACACCAGACACAATCCCATATCCCTCTTTCAAGGCTTTAAAACCAAGACCCTTACCAAGCTGGATCTGACAGGTATGGCCAAGGGTAAGGATTATTTCCAAGGGATAGGACTTCCCCACCAGCCTTTGATTTCCAACCTTTCCCATATGCAATACATGCGAGGCACAGAACACAAAAGGCACTAGGTAGGCTTTCTCACGCCACAAAACGGGCATGTTTAAACAAAATCAAAGTGAACTGAAATTATCTGTACGAATTCTGCAACTCCCTTTGAGGTAACTGGAAACACTGTGGGACAAAAAACAACCCAGTGCTGGAAATCTCTGCTTTAGGTAACATTTCACTAGATAAGGGTGGCAGGACTCTCCTCCTACACGGGCATAGAGACCAAATATTACTAAGCTGCAGTAACAGGTTTCTTTTTAAAAATAAATAATTTAAATAACGTAAACAGGTTTGCTAAAGCTTGGGGCTTCTAACACATCCACAAGAAACTGGAGATCAGGTTGGGGCAGGAGGCCGGCAATTCGATCACTTCTTGGCCCTCTCTGGGGCCCCCCCAGCGGTGCCAACTGCCTTCCCTCCTGCCCAGGAAGGAACGGGTGGCGCCCCCAGGTCCTGAGAGCCAGGGGGAAGAGTGGCCCAAGTCCACTCGCCCTAGGATACAGCTTGGCCTCCCCCTGCTCTCCCGGAGAAATGCAACAGCCGCGTCTCAGCATCACCCTCGGGGCAGGCCCTTCGCACTTGCCTCCTCCCTCGTCCGAAAAGCCCAAGAATTCCCGCCTCCCCGTGGAAGGCGGGAGAAGCGCGGGCTGGCTCCCCGCTCCTCCCCCCGCAGGGGCAAAGCCGGTCCCTCGGCGGGCCAGCGCGGGGCACCCCGCACCCCGAGGATGGCTGCTCACGACCCCTGCCCAGCCGGACCCAGGCCCCGGCTCTCTCGAGGGCTGGGGCATCCTTCTCTCCCCCACCTGCAAGGCCCCGCGGAAAGACCGCGATCTTCTCCCTAGTAACACCCTCCCCTAGTGGGCCAGGGGGTGGCGGCATCCCCCCACCTACACATCGCTTCCCCCACCCCCACAGGGCGGAAGCATCGACGTCGCTCCGCTGTCTCAGGTGGCCAGACGGCCTCCCTTTTCCTCAGCCGGGTGAGGGGCAACTCTCGCCCGCCGACATGTACGTGGGGGGCAGGGACACTCCCCCGTCCCGCCGCCATCACCTCAGGGACGAGAACGAGCCCTTCTCTCAGTAGGGCGAGGGCTTCCCAACCCTTCAACGGGGCGGACGGGTGTGCAACCCCCTGGAGAAGCAACAGGCGTCCCCATCCCCCTCCCGGCCGGGGACCGCCGACCCCCTCGTCCCTCCCGCTCTTCACCTCTGGAAGCTGGGCCGAAGCCTGTGCGAACAACTGGGCCTCACTCCGCCCCCAGCGCCATTTTATCGCCCCCTCCCCGACCTCCCCCACCCCGAGGCAACCGGGCCAACGCCAGGGGGAGGGCAAACAGGCAGTGATTGGCAGGAAACCGCCCCGCCTCTCAGAGGGTTGCGCCCCGCGCAGGCGCCGCAGCCCCGCCCGCCGCAGCCCCGCCCTTCGCACCACCAACCCCGCCTACTGGCTCCACCCCTCCTCGTCTCATCGACCCCTTCGACTCTCCGCTGCTCCTGACTCTTTCCCGGCCACTGCCTGGCGGAGAAGGGCCCAGGCCGAGCAAGCCGAGCGACGAGCTCAGCTGATGCAACCTAACCGGACCCGCGTGACACTTCCCGGCACGCGGCGGCGGCGGCGGCGGCGGCGGCGGCGGCGACCGAGGAAGGGGCGCGAGTGCCGGGCCGAACGCGGGAGACAGAGGTGACGGAGCCATGGGAGACGCTCCGAGCCCTGAAGAGAAGCTGCACCTTATCACCCGGAACCTGCAGGTCGGGCCTCGGGGTTGGAAATGCGCCGTTGGGGACTGGGGGCCCGAGGTCCAGTGATCCTAAGCCCCACTACTGGGTCCTAAGTGTGTGGGCCCGGGGACTCCGCGCCAAGGCAGCTCGCAGAGTCTGCAGCTCTCACTTCCGGTCGGTCAGTCAGTCAAAAAGTCAAGCAGCAGTTATCTGGGTACCACAGAAATCACGGTGGGCTCACCTCCTGTGTGCAGTTACCGTGTGTTGAACCAGGCTTTAATCCAGGACTCCCACCTCACCCACCCTATTGTGCGCCAGGCGCGATGCTAGGCGCTGGGGATACGTCAGGGCCCTGCCCTCCCAGAACTTGTGTGGAGGGAATCAGGGGTTAAAAATGAGCCATAATCCAAATACTTAATTACAGTTGAAGCATGTTCTAGAAGGTACTATACGTGGGGCTTTGATAGGAAATTAGGAGATAGGGCTAGGGTAGTGTCAGGGAAGGCTGAGGAAGTGACCTCTAAACTGCGCCCAGAGGATGTGGATCACCTCTTCACTCCCATGTGTTCCTGCTGCTACCAGGAAGTGCAGAAGTTAACCAAAGGAAGAATGGGGGGGAAGCATCTCAGGTAGAAGAAACCCAGGTCAAGACCTAGTGGTTCAGAGAAGGCTAGTTTGGCTGGAGTAGAGTGAGCAAAGTGCGGATCAGATACTTAATAAATATTTATATTGTTCATTCCCTTGCCTCCTGCAGGCCTCTGATTATTGTCACATCAGGAAGGCCTTTCCTGACCACTTTATTTAAATAACAAACTCCCTGCCACCAGAACTGTCTCATTCCTTGTTCTGCCTTTTTGTGGTGGTGTTTCTCCATAGAACTTATCACCATCTGACATACTATATGTTTTACTTGTTTGTTTAGGAGGAGTAGTTAGGGACCAGATCATGAGGGCCTTGTTTAAAATTGAGGTGAGCAGTCTAAGAGCATTTACATTGGTTGAGCCACAGCTTGTTTTTTTCTCTTTTTTGAGATATAATTCACATGCCATAAAATACACCCTTTTAAAGTGTACAATTCATGGGCCAGCCCCGTGGCTTAGCGGTTAGGTGCGCGCGCTGCGCTGCTGGTGGCTTGGGTTCGGATCCCGGGTTCGGATCCCGGGCCCGGATCCCAGGTGCGTACCGAGGCACCGCTTCTCTGACCACGCTGAGGCGGCGTCCCACGTACAGCAACTAGAAGGATGTGCAGCTATGACATACAACTGTCTACTGGGGCTTTGGGGGAAATAAATAAATAAATAAAATTATTTAAAGAAAAATGTACAATTCAGTGGGTTTTAGTATAGTCACAAAATTGGCAACTATCACCATTATCTAATTCCAGAACATTTTCATCACCCTGGCAAAAACCTGGACTCATTAGGAATCAGTGCCCATTTCTCCCCTCCCCCCAGTCCTAGGGAAACACTAATCTACTTTCTGTCTCTACCTTTTGCCTATTCTGGACATTTCATATAAGTAGAATCATACAATATGTGGCCTTTTGTGTCTGACTTCCTTCAGTTAGCATAACGTTTTCAAGCTTCATCCATATTGTTACACCTGTCGGAACTTTATGCCTTTTTTATGGCTGAATAATATTCCATTATGTGAATATACCATGTTTTGCTTGTCCATTCATCAGTTAATGGACATTTGGGTTATTTCCATTCATAAGTTGATCTTAACCAGAGGTGCTTGCATGCTTCCCGTTAGCCAGATCCTTCGTTTTCTACCTCTCTCCATAAAAATAGTGCTGACTGGGGCAAAGGATAGACAAAACTAGTGGTCTTGACTCACTCAGGTTTTGAAGGGTAAGTGATATGACCTTCCCTTGGGCAATGAGAACCATCCAAGTGTCCAAATAGCCAGGGGGTCAGAGGATGCAGAATCAGCCTCCAGCTGGCTTGGAACACAGGATTTATAACAAGTCCTGCTAATAGATGATTCAAACCAGCAAAATAGTTTTTGTTTATCATGGCTTTCAACAGCCTCCCCAACCATCACTTGAAGAAACACTAAAGTCTTTTTTATCAGCAGCGTACTGGCCTATTAGGATTTTTCCAATGTTATCTTAGGGCAAAAGAAAATCATTAAAGTATTTAAACAGGGGAATGAGTTAATCAGATTTTGGGTTTTAAGATCTCTCTGCCTACTTTTTGGAACATGGAGAGAGCAAGAGTAGATATGGGAGACATGTTAGGAGGCTATTCCAGTGATCCTGGTGTGATCTGATGGGGGCCTAGACTAGGGTGGTGGCATAGAGACAGAGCTGTTTCAAAGTAACTTATGCAACTTGGTGAATGAGAGTACCATTTACTGACCTAGGGATGAAACCAAAAGTGAAAAAGATGCTTGGGGAGGGAGGCAGGAAGGAGAGAGCATGAGTTTAATTTTGAACACATTGAGTTTGAATTAACTGGGCTGATAACAAGTACACGGTTCTGTATATGTAGATGTGAGCAGGAGATCTGGGAGTTACTAGCTCATAAGTAGTAATGGAAGCAAGGGGATCAGTTAGGGAGAATGCAGAATTAAGAAAAGGAGAATAGGGGCGAGTCCCGTGGCCTAGTGGTTAAGTTCAGTGTGCTCTGCTTTGGTGGCCCAGGTTTAGTTCCTCGGCGCGGGCCTACACCACTTGTTGGCAGCCGTGCTGTGGCAGTGACCCACATACAAAATAGAGGAAGACTGGCAAAGGTATTAGCTCAGGGTAAATCTTCCTCAGAAAAAAAAAACAAAAAAACAAAAAAAAGAAGAGGAGAGATAGGGCCCCAAGGATTGCTAATATTTAATGATTAGGAAGAAGAAGAGTGGGCTGGCCCCGTGGCTTAGCAGTTAAGTGCACGCGCGCTCCGCTGCTGGCGGCCCGGGTTCGGATCCCGGGCGCGCACCGCCACACCGCTTCTCCGGCCATGCTGGGGCTGCGTCCCACATACAGCAACTAGAAGGATGTGCAGCTATGACATACAACTATCTACTGGGGCTTTGGGGTGAAAAAATAAATAAATAAAATCTTTAAAAAAAAAAGGAAGAAGAAGAGTAGCTGCAAAGAAATCTGAGACCCAGCAGCCAGAGAAGTAGGAGGAAAACTGAGAGAATAATATAGAGGAGACCAAAAGAGGAGAATGTTTCAGGGAGGGAGTGAGGCCTAAAAAGTATTCGTTGAATTTAGCAATGTGGAGGCCATCTGTGATCTTAGCAAGAGCATTTTCGGTCTTGTGATGCTTGGAATGGGAGATGAGGAATGGAGACCAGAAGTAGGGACAACTATTTCAAGAAGTTGGCTATAAAAGGAAGGAGCATGAGTTAGAGGTAGTTGGAGGGGAAGATGTGGTTAGGGACATGCCCCATTCCCCTAACATCAGTGTCATTTTGCTGGAATGGTATTAGCAACAGCACCAACCTAGGTTGGCTCTCACTCAGCACTGAGAGCATGGCTGGACCTCCCTGCTGGCTCTGAGCCTGGACCCCTAGTGACACATGCCTTTGTTTTCCTTGTCACAGGGTAAAGGATGAGCAAGGTGGGGCACCAGCATTAAACCAGCTCTTCTGCTTCCACAACAGGAGGTTCTGGGGGAAGAGAAGCTGAAGGAGATACTGAAGGAGCGGGAACTTAAAGTTTACTGGGGAACAGCAACCACAGGCAAGCCTCATGTGGCTTACTTCGTGCCTATGTCTAAGATTGCAGACTTCCTGAAAGCAGGATGTGAGGTAAGAACGAATGTTATAAACCAAGCACTTGCCTTATGGGAATGGCCAAAAAAGAGACTTAACAAGGGCAGAGCAGGGAGGGTGGTTTGGAGGTATGTGGACAAAGTCACATTGTGGTGGCCCCTTATCTCTTATGTCCAGGTAACGATTCTGTTCGCGGACCTTCATGCATATCTGGATAACATGAAAGCCCCCTGGGAACTTCTAGAACTTCGAGCCAGCTACTATGAGAATGTGATCAAGGCAATGCTGGAGAGTATTGGTGTGCCCTTGGAGAAGCTCAAGTTCATCAAAGGCACTGATTACCAGCTCAGCAAGTAAGTGTTTGATCATCCACCCTCCTCATGGCTCTGGTGCTTCTAGCTAATTATAGCCCTGTGGAATGCAGGCGCTCTTTAAATTTGGATTAGAAGCTGTTTGGCTCTACCTATTAAGAACCATTTAAAAATTTATACTCTTTGTCTTTAATTCCTCCATCGAAAATGTACTGACTAGTAAATGCCTGGGTACTGTCCTATTTGCTGGAGATACCAATGTAACCATAACAAAGTCCTTGGCCTTGCAGAGCTCATAGCATATGGGAGCATGATGATGAACAATTCAGCCTCCCTTTCTCCTTCCAGCCTCTGCAAATAGTGATAAAAGAAATGTGAAAGAAAAATATTTCTCGTTTCTCACTTCCCCAGCAATTTGTATTGCTTCGTATCTTTGTCAATTTTTTTCATATTTGTAATGTTAGCATACATATAATTTTGTGTCCGAATTTTTTAACTTACAGTTTCCTAAGAAATTCCCCCATGGTACCTCATAGTCTCCACATTTTTTATTTTTAAAACCTCTCAAATAAGCCATGTATCACTCTACTAGTCACTTTTGCATTTAAACCCTTAGAACATCTTTCTAAGGTAAGCACTGTTTTATCCTATTTCACAGATAAGGAAAGAGATTGAGATTGTTTCCCAAGTTCATACAGCTAGTAAGTAGAAGAGCTAGGCTGTGAACACAGATCTTTTGCTTACAAGTCAATTTCTCTTTTTACTTCATCTAACGTAATTTTCTTTACCATTCCCCACTGTTATGTAGAAACATATAAAGCATATAAACATCCTTATATAGACAAATATTTGAATCTACAGTCTTGGTAGAGTGCCTGAGATTTCATTCATTTTTACATTTATTCTGCATATATTTATGGAGCATTTATTATATGGTAAGCACTGTTCTAGGTGCTGGGTTTAAAAAAGTAAATTAAAACAAAAGTCCCTGTCCTGAGGGGCTTACATTCCAGCAAGGGAATACAGAGGCAAAACAAATAAACAAGTAATTTATATAGGTGGTGATAGGTGCTACAAAGCAGGCAGGCGGAGAGGAGAAAGTTCTCGGGGAGTGGAGGGTTTCTATTTAAGTAGAGTGGTTAGAGAAGACCTCTATGATAAGATGACATTAGACAGAGACCTGAGGAAGGTGAAAGAGTGAGTCATGCAAATATTTATTGAGTTCTTACTACATGCCAGACACTGTTCTGGGTGTTGGGATTATAACAGTGAATAACTCAGGCAAGGTTTTTATTCTCCTAGAATTGAACAGAATTGGGGGGAAGATGGGATAAATAAAACTATCTTGTTTCAAAAGTCCCTTTGATCTTTTTCTCTATACAAAAGTGACTTCAAAGGAAGATGGCTTTGTAAGTGCATGCTTTGATGCACTCCTTCTGTTCCAGACACAGCAGTGATAGATAAAAATATAAAAATAAAAAACCAAAGAACAAAACCAAAGGACAAACGAAAAACAAACTAAACATCTCTATGGTAAGAGAGACAGGGTTGTAATGCAAATTGGTGAGTTGGGCTGAAGTTATCAGTCTGGAAGCCATCAGTGGGGACAAACCAGGCTTACTGCTTAAAGCCAGAGAATAAAGTAGGGCTTTCCCCCTTTTCCCATTCCCACCCCTACCCCTCAAATAGAACCCGGGAGTGGGAGCCTGAGTCTTTTTGTTTTGTTTTGTTTTGTTTTTGGTTTTTTTTTTGTGAGGAGGACCAGCCCTGAGCTAACATCCAATGCCAATCCTCCTCTTTTTTGCTGAGGAAGACTGGCCCTGGGCTAACATCCGTGCCCATCTTCCTCTACTTTATATGGGACGCCGCCACAGCATGGCTTGACAAGCGGTGCGTTGGTGCGTGCCCGGGATCCGAACCGGTGACCCCCGGGCCGCCACAGCAGAGTGTGAGCACTTAACCGCTTGCACCACCGGGCCGGCCCCTGGAGCCTGAGTCTTTAGGGACTTTTTATCAAGCTTCAGGTCTATGGAGACTGGAGTATGTGCAAACCAAGAATTGAACCAAGCTGCCCACCATTTATGAGTGTTATATCCCTGATATTACCAAAAAGACATAAGTTCTAAAATGCCAAGGAATTATGTCCATTAAAAAAAGGAAATTATAAAACAGAGGCAGAAATGAAACATGAATATATAAAAATAAAAAGAATCATTTAGAAATCTTGGAAATGTAAAAGTCAGTCATTAAAGTCATTAAACATTTCATTGTTTCATTAAAAACAATGAAACAGAAAACCTTGAAATGAACCTTCAATAGAGAAGATCAACTCAAGAGTGAACACAGTTGAAGAGAAAGTTAGAGATTTGAAAGGTAAATACTAAGAAATTCACCCAGGGTGCAGCCTAGAGAGATGGACAGAAAAACTGTAGGAGTGTTTGAGATGTGGCTAGGGACTTTTGTTTTCAGCAGTCTGGCAGACTAGGTACTCTGACTAGCCTTCCTGCTAAAAACAACTAAAAATGCTAGATAAATTTTTTTTTAAACTTCCTAAATACTTCAAATTAGTCAATTGATGAATTAGTGAAGAATACTCAGTGGCCAGAAACCAAGTGAAAGTGGGAATACAAAAAGATACTGTATTTCAGTTAATCTAAGATGCCTTAAAAAATACTGCTAATTAATCTATAACATGCCATTGTTTAAAAGACTCATCTAGATTTCAGAGATGTTAAAAGTTAAAAAAAAAAATGTGTCTTGGGGCCAGCCCGGTGGCACACGCAGTTAAGTGCCCACGCTACGCTGCACTGGCCCAGGGTTTGCTGGTTCGGATCCCGGGCACTCACCAATGCACCACTATCAAGCCATGCTGTAGTGGCTTCCCATATAAAGTAGAGGAAGATGGGCACGGATGTTAGCCCAGGGCCAGTCTTCCTCAGCAAAAAAGAGGAAAATTGGCATTGGATGTTAGCTCAGGGTTGGTCCTCCTCACAACAACAACAAAAAAATGTGTCTTAGAATCTATAAAATATAGATTTTATAAAATACTCAATATAGTGTCCAGTAGAACACTGAAGACTACTTGCACTTTGAGGGAGTTCACTGAATTGTATGCACTTGAACTTTGGTTTTCGTGGCCTCACAGAGCACAATGGAAAAAAAAAGAGAAAAAAAGATAAGAGAACTAGAGTACTAGGCCAGGAGGTCAAATATTTGAATAACAAGTGTTCCAGAAAAGAGAACAAAGAATCAGAGCGAAGGAAATCATCAGTGAAGTAATTTAAGGAAATAATTAAATGACGTGAGTTTCCAGATTGAAAGGGCCCATCAGGCACCTAGCACAATGAATGAAAATAAACGCACATTAAAGTGTATTATCTTGAAATTTCAAAACACTGGGGACAAAAAAAAGTATTCTACAAATTTCCAAAGGGACAAAAGAAGTCACATACAAACTGTCAGGAATCAGAATGGCCCTGCGTTTCTCAAAAGGGACACCGAAAGCCAAAAGGTGATGAAGGAAAGCCTTTTAAATTCTGAAGAATTCCCAACGTAAAAATCTATACCTACCCGAACTATACCATTCAAGTGTAGGGGTAAAATATCTGAAAAAAAATATTTTCATGTTTTTGGCCATTTGTGTTTCCTCTTCACAAGTGTCTATACAAGTGTTTGGGCCCATTTTCTACTTTTTTCTTTTAGGAGTTCTTTATGTATTCTGGATACCAAATCCTTTGTCATTTATATATCATGGGGATAGAAAATTAACCACTGGAATAGACTAGAGAGTTCAGAAATAGATCCTCACAAATATGGGAACTTGATATATGACAGAGCTGGCATTGCAGATCAGCAGAGATAAAAATAAACTTTTTAAGAAAAAATGGTGCAGAGACAATTGGTTATCCATATGGGGAAGAAAATGATCCCTCTATTCCAAGTGGATTAAAGATTTAATTGTAAAGGCCAAACTATAAAACATTTAAAAGACAGTATATAAGACTCTCTTATGATCTCAGGTTAGGGAAAATTAAACAAGACACACCAAAAGCACAAATCACAGGAAAATAATGATGAATCCAACTTTAATACATGTAACTGGCAAAGGTTTACCATCTGGTATTATATGTCAAAAACTACAAAATTAGTTGTCAAAAAATGAGTCAATCCAATAGAAAAAACTTAAATAGGCATTTTGCAGAAGAAACTGAATGACTAATATGGACCAGAAAGATGCTTAACCTCCTTGGTTGTTATTTAAAGAAATATAGACTAAAACTGCAGTGAGAAACCCTTCATGCTTACCAAATTGGCAAAATTTAAAACGACGACAGTACTAAGTAATAAAATTGGTAAAAGACACTTTGGAAAATAGTTTAGCATTATCCACTAAAGTTCAGGATGCAAATCCCCTATGATCCAGAAATTCTACTCCTAGGCGTATATAAAGAAACTTACACATAGATACCAGGATGCATATATAAGAATATTTACAACATATTGTTTAGAGATACAAACAGTATAAAACTGGAAAGAAATAGAAAAGTTGAGGATAGGGCCGGCCCCGTGGCTTAGGGGTTAAGTGCACGCGCTCCGCTGCTGGCGGCCCGGGTTCAGATCCTGGGCGCGCACCGACGCAC